CAGTGTTGACTAGGCCAGGGGACACGCTATTGACACGGATGCCGTACTGTGCCCATTCCATGGCCAAAGTGTGGGTCATGTTGCGAACACCGGCCTTCGAGGCACCGTAGGGAGCGGATGGAACGCGCTGGTGTGGGTGGTTAGTATTGAGTGAATAAGAGTTTAAGTGGATGGAAACATACTTTGTTAGGACGGTAAGAAGCCATAGAAGCTGTGAAAACCACGGAACCCTTGATTCCCTGCTTGATAAATGCGCGGGCAGCGGCACGTGCAGTATAAAAGGCACCGAAGAGGTTGACATTGAACAGAGTCTCAATATCCTCCTTGGTGAAGTCAAGGGCAGCCTTGTGGTGAGTACGACCGGCATTGACCACCATTCCGTGTAGAGCACCAGCCTGTTCGATGATCTTATCAACTGCCGCGGTGATAGTGGCCTCTTCGGTCACATTGGCAGTGACGGCAAAGAGTTTATTAGGGTATTTCTTCGATACAGCAGCAAAATCTTCTCCAGTCTCGCCAATGTCAATCGAGTAGACTTGAGCTGCACCGTTATCAAGGCAGCACTCAGCAATACCCAACCCTATTCCGCGGTTGGCACCAGTAACTAAAGAATTATCCTGTTAGCTAGCCACTCTCTAGACCTTCACTTTTTTAAAACACTTACTAGCAATAACCTTTCCATCCAAGGCGACTTGAGTCTGGGGGATAGGAGTTCCATTGGAGGCCATGATGAATGATGTGATGATAAATGTGTTTTGGGTAAAGAAAGGCGCAGATGATTGATATGGGGGAAGATTTGACCAAAAGATGTCTTCTTTATAAATCTAAGAAAGATTGGCAAGGTTGTCTCGTATGCCCGCAAAACACCGCATAACCAAAATCATCGTCCATACTCTCACTGTAGTGATGACTCGAGACGGGTGTTGGAGAAGCGTGGGGATACGTGCGGGGATAAAGTGGATGTGTCCCCGAGACGGCGCTATGATCCACTTCAAGCGTCCGATTTCCCAAGAGAGCTGAGGGCTTGGAATTCGAATCTCATCTTGTCTCAACACATAATAAATTCAAATATTCTCTATCGGTGTTTGTGTCTTTTCACTCCTCCCCTACTCGATTTACACGATGGCTGCACTGCCCGCTTGGAACCTGCTCAAAGGCAAGACCGCCGCCGTAACTGGTGGTACCACTGGAATCGGTCGCGCGATTGTTCTGGCATATATTACTCAAGGATGTAATGTTGCCGTGAATCACTTGGGTCTGGCCAAGGACGAAAATCTTCGGCACAGTCTACTGGAGGAGGTCAAGGCAATCGAGAACACAGGCATCAAGGCGGGCAAGATCCTCGAGCTCCCCGGGGATGTGACGAAACCGGAGACAAGCACCGATTTAATCAAAGAGGCTGTTTCGCAATGGGGGAAATTGGACATTTTTGTCGCCAATGCGGGTGTATTTAAACCAGCCGAGCTTTTGAAGTAAGTCAAATGCCTGTACCTCGGTGATTTCAAACTCTGTGGTTCCTCTTCCGCCCATCAAAGCCGATATGCTAAGAGAAAAAAAAAATAGGATTAAACCGTCTCTTTTAGACCATACTGTCGATGTCAATATCAAAGGCACCTTCTACTCTTGTCAAGCTGCCGCTCATCAAATGGTGAAACAAGGGCACGGTGGCTCAATCATTGGTGTTTCTTCCGTTAGCGCTTTGCTCGGTGGTGGGTTCCAAACTCACTATACTCCTACTAAGGCTGGGATTCTCTCCATGATGCAGTCAATGGCCATTGCGCTTGGCAAAGATAAGATCAGGTGTAATGCCCTGATGCCTGGCACTATCGGAACCTCGCTAGCTGCCCATGATATGAAGGACCCTGTCAAGATGGCCGCCCTTGAGGAGCGTATTCCTCTTGGTCGAATTGGAGATCCGAATGATATGGCAGGCCCGGCAGTTTTCTTGGCTTGTGAAGAGATGAGTCGTTATGTGAACGCAACGGGGTTGCTAGCAGACGGTGGAATGTATAGTAAATTACAGTGAATATTGCAGTGCAAATAAACGAATCAAGTTAATTTATTATCAAGAACACAGTGCTTTCATACCAAATTCGTTAAGATATGTGGTGTAAGATCGACCACCCAAGTCAGGATTCAACCAAGCATTTCTTCCAATTTCTTCTTCTTCTAATTTATTTACAAATCCAATTTATTGAAGAGAATAGCAACAAAAGTGGCATTCGACTTTAACATACTTTATGCCTTACCGGCGGAGCCGCAAATTTCCATCCACTTGACAGTCAGATCGGCCACCTTCTGAATACCCTCCTCAATCAGTTGAGTGTGCGTCATTTTATTCACATTCGCACGGAGATGGTCATAGTAGTCATCCAAGACGAGGCGGTTGACGTTGATCTTGCTGACGCCCGCAGCCACGCAGCGTTTCATTAACTCAGGCGTAAACCCATTGGTGCCATGTAGAGCTAACCTTACTCTACCATTTGCCTGGCTACGAACGCTCTGGAATCTAAACAGCTATTAGTGAATGGGATTAATAATTTCTCGTCTGACTTGCCTTTCGAAATCCAATTGTGGCCCTTGCGGGCCATACTCGCCGTGAACATTCCCAAATGCCGGAGCAAGCACGTCCACACCCGTGCTGACGAACTCATCCACCTCTTCAGCTGTTGTCATACAGGCTTCTAATCCTGCAGTATCCATTACACCATCCTCTCCGCCTTCAATACGACCTGGTTCGGCCTCAGTAGCCTTCTGGCGCTCATTGCAATACCGCACCAGTTCGCGGGTCTTCTCCAAGTTGACTTCCTTCTCGTAGTGGGACATGTCAACCATGATACTGTCGAAGGGCAGCTCCGCTGCTCGCTTGATTATTGTTTCGGATTGCGCATGGTCGAGGTGGATGCTAATCGGTACACTCGCACGCTTCGCGGCATCTGCGGCAGTGCGCACAAGCAACCCATCAGTGGCCTCGATAGCCCAGGGAAAGAATTGAATGATGAGGGGTGAGTGAGCTGTCTCGGCGGCCTGAACTAGACCTAGCACATGCTCAATGTTGTAGGCGATGGCGGCGATAACTCCATACTGCCCGGCTTCCGCATTCTGCAAGATGGTGAAATGACGGTTGGAATCTTTCCAGGACATTTTGGAAATTGAAATTGGATTTGAATACAAACATTGTGACTGGGCTGATCGAGTTGGTTTATAGGTACAACATAAACAGAAGAATGACCCCGAGACGAGGCAAGACCCACCCCTCGGCGTTTCTCCGTGGGGGAGAAGAGCGAGGAGATGAAAGCTCCCGCATCAACCTCGCTTATTCGAATAAGCCAAATTTTGGTTGTCTCGTCTTGCTCTAAAGTATATACCAGTCTGTGTGTCTTCATTGTGTGGACACGCCCTATCACTATCACTATCTCACAAAATGTCCAACAATACCATTTCCTTTACGACTCATGACCAACGATTCGTGGCGATCGTTGGTTCGTCTCCGACAGCAGAGCTTCTTGCAGAAAATAAAGACTATTCGTTTGCTCACGAGGCCGGGGTATTCTTTCCAGACACCAATAAGCTCTTCGTTACCAGCAACCGGTGCATTGGCCCAAACGGACAGCAAAAAGTACACATTACTCGGGTCGATCTGAGTACAACGCCAATAACCTGCCAGGAGATTTCTACTGAAATTCCTATGGGTAATGGAGGTATCAATTACGATAAAGACGACGTTCTCTTTTGTGCACAGGGGACTATGACCGAGCCAAGCGGGCTTTACCGGATGTCTACTATTGCTCCGTACAAGTCGGAACTTTTAAAAGCTGATTTTCACGGCCGACCATTCAACTCTGTCAATGATGTGGTGGTACATACGGATGGTTCAATCTGGTTCACCGATCCCATCTATGGCTCTGAGCAGGGTTATCGCCCTCCGCCGCGTCTACCTAACCAGGTATACCGATGGTGTCCAGATACTGGGGCTATTCGCGCAGTGGCCGATGGTTTTGGGAGACCAAATGGTATCTGTTTCTCTCCGGATGAGCAGGTTGTTTATATCACCGATACGGACCGGGTACATGGAGACGGCAGCATCGATGACCAACGAGTATCCTCCATGTTAGTTAAATGTGATCTCCTGGTGATTGAAGTTGAATCCAAAGAGCTAATGCTGCAATTTTATCTAGTTATGCTTTCGACGTGTGCACTATTCACGGGGAGCCATTTCTCACAAACCGACGCCTCTTCGCCATGGCAGACCAGGGCATTCCAGATGGAATCAAGTGCGATTTAGAAGGAAATGTATACAGTGGCTGTGGGGATGGAATCAATGTTTGGTCCCCAGGAGGTGTGCTATTGGGTCGGATCCGTGTTGACGGAGGCGTGTCGAACTTCTGCTTTGGCAGAAACGGGGAAATCTTTGCCCTCAATGAACATCGATTGTGGCGAGTCCAGTTGGGAGCAGGAGTAAAGGGGGCATTGCTTCGATTATAAAATGCTTGAGATGTTACTATGTCAAGAAACAGACAACAAATAAATTACAAATATCCACAAGAACACCGAACCATAAGGAAAGACATGAAAAGGCACAAACAATGCGAGGGCACCTGCATCCAGCCTAAAAGGACTTTTGTATCTCCCAGATCTGCTGCAGCTCAACTCCCAGAGATTTGACTGGCCAGCCACTTCGTTCTCGACAAGCCTTTAAGAGCTCTAGAATCGCGCTTCTAACATGGGGTTCTTGCGTAAACATCCCCGCTGTATCTGCGTAAGCCTTGTCTTCTGCCAATTGTAAAATGGTACATACCTATAAATAAAGCCTGTGAAGACATTATGCTAGAGGCATTGTCTTTCAAGGTCATGCCAATAGAACATATTTTCTCCACGCAGCGCGTTATTGTACTTTGTCGCTCAAGATGTCGCTTCAACCCGCCTAAGCTGGGTTCATGAGATACCAAGAGAAGACACGATACGTTGAAAAATTGAACCGCGACGGCTGTATGGCCAAATTAGTTTGGTTTCACTGACCACAACTCGGCGTCCATGTCGAATAACATACCAAATGCAGGTGGACTAATCCATATAGGTTGAAAGCATGATGTGACCTCGCAGGACCTAATTGGCAAGGGGGAGAATTCAACGGTCAAATGCCGTTGCCAGTCTTCCAGCATGCTCCGAAGTCGCATTGCCTCACCAATTTGATGCTGGATATTTTCTTGGGTTGTTTCAGTAGCGCAGTAACTAACCACCTTTGCGGCGATATAGATGGAGCGCGTAGCAAGCTCGTGCGGCAATAACGCAGAGAGGGGCTTTTGTGGAACCCAAAACGTAAGGGTCTTGCGCTTCTCGCGGAAAGCAGCCCAGATATCCTGGCACAGCCAGGCCCACCAGACCGCCGACTTGAGTCCTCCAGTTTCTCCGTGTATCGTTTGAGATCTTTGAATCAAGAAGACTCCTTCTAGATGACGCTCCCAGTCATCTGTAGAATTGTCAAGCATTTCGTAAGTAGAAATTATCAAGGCGGTTGAAAGTAGCTCTAGGCTAATCTTGTAAGCACTAGATTGCATCGCCCTTCCCACGTAATGAAGAGTTTGGTAGTAGTATTGAAGAGCTTCTTCCGGCTTGCTTGTGATGTTTTGATCATCCAGACTAGGGTTCAAAGCTAGGTGCCGAAAAGAAAGAGCTAATATGGCGTTTAGAAGCCCAGCATTACGCAACTAAATCCCATGTCAGTTCTTCAAACAAAAAAGACCTCCGTTCGGTGGGACCCGACTTACCGCTAGGTGCACAACTAATGTAGAGAATTTGTTGGTCGGGTCAAAAAGATCGATCTGCGAGAGAAGATTATCAGACGAGGATACACCAGTCAGGGATATAGTGCCATGACCAACCATGGGGCTAACTTGATGTACAAAGTGTTCAAACAATGTTTGTTCTGCTGGTAAGAGATCTATTGGTTCCTGAGACTGCCAAACCTGCCCCTCCGTCACGTCTTGACTAGCTGACCTGCCAGCAGGGCCATCCAAAACCTGAGTCGCTCGCTGTAGCGAGCTAGGCTGTGCTGGGCCATCACCACTCTGGTATCCAAACGAGAGGCTTTGACTCTCCCAGGAATCAGAGAGAGTCGGTAGCTGCGGGCCATCGCTGGGAAAACCACTTGCTAGTAAGCCTAACCATCGTACCGCCGCCAATGATGAGGTGGATGGCGACAAGTAATCCCCATGCATGCCTCCTGGACTCTGGCTTGGAATCCCCTCGTTCTCCAGTCTATATTCCAGCATGGCTGGCGGAGAAGGATTAAGGCCCGCTTCCGAAGCAGTCCTGGCATGATCAGAGGCTCCATGCGGCTGGTAGTGCACTTCGCCTGGGTTGTGATCACTTGATACATGGTCAATGTTCTGCTCCTGAGGCGGTGTTTGCTGTGTGGTTGATAAAAGGGAGAGGCTCTCGGGAACGACCTTGTTGGTGGCCGCAGAGTCGATGTTGTTTCGGTTCGAATTGGCGTAATCACAGGTCTTATTCTTTTTGGTACAGGGACCACATGCCGGTTTAATTTCATCACATTTCATGTGCCGCTTCCGACATGTGAGGCTAAATAGGTTGCGTCAAGCAAGGCACGACACAGTTTGAACACAAAGGACCTTACCATCCATCCTTAGTCCGCAGCCCGCGCCCTCGGGACTTTCTCTTGCGTTGCCATCTGGCGGGCGAAGTTGGACTAACCATTGAGTCATTATTCCATGTATTACATATACCCTCTGGGTTGAGAGTCCACTCCATTCTAAAATGTGCCGTTAGCTACCTAGGTAGTGTCCTCGTCTCGGGGAAGCTTATGAAATGGAACACGTGATCTATCCCCACAATCGGCTCCACCTGCACGGGGGCCGCCCCGGGCCCGCGGGGTAGGTGGTTACATAAGACTATTTACCCCGGCCAAAAAGATCGGGGAATATCAATCGGAATATCCGATTGTCACTGTAGCAGTTCTAGAACAAGATGGCCTTCTGCATTAAACTATCGACTATCAACTTTATCCTATCATTTACATCACAATAGGCCTATAAGCATAGTAGAAATAACTTGGAGCCGCAGCTACTTGACAGGTGCGCGTGGCCTACACATGTTATATGACAAATCTCAACCAAAAGCACGTATCTAATTGTGGGAAACTGTTTCTTTGTGCTCAGTGTCGACACCATATAAGCCCTTCTCGGTTTCAAAAACGGAGTGACGCTGATGAGCGCCGCCGATATCTGGATGTTCTGCAATGAGTGTCTTGAATTTCGCTTCGGCTGCCCAGGTAAATGGAGACTCTGCAGCGAAAAGCATATCAATTTCTTCGAGTGTTCGCTGGCTAGATTCAGGATAGAAAGCCCATACTAAAGCCCGTTAGCCAAATCCGATCACATTCGAATAGGGAGGTTGGTCTTCTCACCAATTGGTATGCTGATGATATTTACAGCGCCAAATACGTGCAGCGTATTTTCTCCAATGGCTGCAAAAATGTATGGAAGAACTAGAGTCAATGATCTAATGCCTGTCAGTATATTTCTATTGGAAATGGATTGGAAAAACAAACCCATTTCCCAAACTCCAGCCAACAACACCCCAAGCATTACCCTTGGCTCGAACCTTGAGCGGGAAGATCTCTGCTGGATAAAGCCATGGAACGGTGAGCCAGGTAGCACCAAAGACGAAGGTATACAAATAGACCATCGATGTTGCTGCAACTCCCCACGGTCCCTGGTTGTCTGGGTTATTAATTCCACCACGAGCCAGACCACCTGCGAGGAACATGGCAACTGCTTGTCCTGCTGCTCCCCACCAGAGGGTCCAACGGCGACCAATCCGGTCAATAGTGACAACACAAATGAGGGTTGCGAATGCGTAGAAGATATTGTTCAGCCCTGAGATCCACATTGTTTTCTCGGAATCGAACCCGGCGATTTGAAAGATAGCTGCGAGGTTGTTAGGGTTTTAGTAGACAAAAGAAGGTCACTGAGTCAACTCACTTGGTGCATACATGGTGACGCCAGCTATGCCAGACCAGCATTGCAGAATCTGTAGCCAGATCACTAGCTGAACACGTCGCGCAATGTGCAAGTCTCCTTGATCAATGCCAAATAGCATGTGGAAGTAGGTGGTCTTCTCCTCCGATTCTGCCTCAAGCCGGACAACAGCTTCAATCTCTCTCATTTCTACCATGGCTGCATGTTCGTTCTCAGACCCACGAAGGCGCTTGAGAACGTAAACCGCCTCGTCCTGACGGCCCGTCATGCAAAGCCAGCGAGGCGACTCAGGGAAGAACCAGCAGCCGGTAATTAGCAAGAGCAGCATGACAATCTGGAAAGCAATAGGGAATCGCCACTGGAACTCGGATGTCCCGTTGTCGATGTAGCGAAGCCCAAACCCTAACCAGTAAGCCACCACCACACCTACAATGTTCAAAGTGAACTCCATGGCGATGAACATGCCACGAGACTCGTAATCCGCAAGCTCAGAGCCATACACTGGGACTGTAGCATTGAGAATTCCAGTTCCTATGCCGTTAATGAGACGAGATATGATCATCCACTCGGGGTTCATCGCTGTACACTGAAATGCAGCTCCAAGGATACCCCAGGCAGCACCAAATGCAAGGGACATGATACGACCGAATCGATCACTGACATACCCACCCATAAAGCATCCAACCAAAGTCCCCAAATAGTAGACTGAGACGATACCTCCCTGTAAGAGAGTGTTGGTGACCGTTATTGATCCATTTTTCTCGTAACCCAGCCCCATCCGCTCGACGTAGGATTTGGAGTCATTGACTCCAGCCATCATCCCTTGATCATAGCCTGCGTGATGTATCAAAGTTAGTTATATTAGGTATGAAAAGAATCTATGGATCTTTAGATTGGGGATTGACTAACCGAAAAAGAAGATTGCAAGGCCAGCGAGGCAGTTGACTGCTACCAATAGGCGTTTCTTTTCCAGCCTCGCGGCGATCTTCCACTGTGCCCGCTCGTCATTGAACATATTTGACATTGCACACAAAGGAGATATATGGGAGAAGTAGTTCGTTTGGAAGTATTCTGTGGGGTCTATTTGAGAAACGCGGGGCCCCAGTAATTATATCGTCTACTTATACTACTATACATCACGTCAGATGTGCCCTAAATCTAGCTCACCTCAAGCCATGTGGATGTGCCAAGCATATGTTACCCCAGGATCCGAATATAGAAATTGCGTAGACAAATCCCGGGGCTCAAACCTTCTCAGTTCCACTCAGCCGGGATGGTGCTCGACTCGGGGCAGACGATGCGACACGGGGCCAATCTACACTGTTGTCACTTACTGTTGAACTTTGTCATTAATATATTACTATACTACCACTAAAGCCCGTTTTGGATAGAATCTATATGGGAGGAGCTTCAATGTTGCTAATAAGCAAACCACTTACCTCGGGAGTTTCAGTATGTAGAGAGGACAGGCGGACAGACGGAGACGGCCGTTTAGTGATAATCCATTATTACCTAGAAAACCTTACCCATTGACCGATCGTTGACAGGCCTTCACTATCCGATCTTTTCTGCGAGTTTCCCGTGGGGGAGGGACTGGGAGAAATGACTTCGGTTACTTTGAATTCGTATAGTTCCCCTGCTCATGTATCTATTAAAGAAATATTAAGACTATGTTCTCTGTTGGGCAGAAGCAATTTCTGAATAGCTATTTCCTGGATGAATTCCATTGTCTACTCTACCGCAGACATTCGTTTATCTATCAAATCCCGATACTCACGCTGTTTGAAGCACATGTCCAAGAATACCTCATATTTCCCCTGAAGGAGCCTTTGCTCATCCTCATTAGCCGTGGGGTCCAAACGTCGACCAGGCTTGCTCATTTGGGTCATGATACTCCACAGATCCTTCGATTCCTCCCCCGATCCCTGACTGGCTGCCATAGCTGCCAGCATAGCAGCACCGTGGCAAACAGCCGCATGCACGTATTCAGGAACAATTACTGGCATTTTGCAACAAGAGGCAATCAAGTGAATCAGGAGGTCGTTGAGTGTTTGTGATCCGGACATGAAAATAGTTGAGATCTGATACCCACGTTCGTTCATAGTATCCACAATCTGACGCGTTTGCAACGCTATAAACTCCAAGGCTCCGTAATAATGGAGAGCGAGATTTTTGATTGAGGTATCACTTCTCAACCCGATAACTGCGCCTCTCATTTGCGCGTCAGCAATAGGTGAGCGGTTGCCCCATAAGTCACCGTAAAAAAAGAAATGTTTAGCCAACTCGGACACATGAGCACAATCGCTCTCCTTTGCCTGTTCACGGAGGTAGTCGTTCAGAAAATCGTAAAGTGAAAGCCCGGCATTATTCGCTTCTGTGGCTGTTTTTGAGTATGCGGGATGGCTTTCAACAATATGCCGGATGAGTTCTCCGGTTGCAGACTGGCCTCCTTCGGCAACATATGCCCCGGAGAAAAGGACATCCCGATACGGGCCCCAGACCCCGGGAACAAACAACTCATCATTCGTCATGGCCAGGTGACAAGTGGATGTTCCAGCAACTAATGCCAATCGGTGCGAGAGATGTTCTCTGTGGTCGATTGGACCATCTAGTCCAAGGTCAACTTTGGCACCGACTGTCCCTATCCAGCCTGCATAGGCGTCAATGACTCCGCTACCAACAGCGATGCCCGGTGAGAGCCCTAACTCCTCAGCCGCCTTTTCGCTCAAAGGTCCGACGCGCTCGCCAGCACTAAGATACCGGCCGTTCTATCAAAGTTCAGTGGTGAGATTTGGTTTAAGCGTAGAAATCCTTTTAAACACATACCTTGCCGTTGATACCACCAATTTGGGCATAGTCATCGATGGCAAGATCCTCAAGGCCAATCTGATTCAAAAACTCCAGCTGCCAGCCTTCTTCGCCGTAGGTTGTGCCAGCTGCGAGATATCCCTGCTTGCAAATCACGCTGCAGTAGCTTCGAGTCTTTTCTCCGGTCGCTAAGTGGGTGAGAGCATCTGCAAGATCATAGAACTCGCAATCCTGAAACTTGCTCGGATCCATATGATTTTTCAGCCAGAGGATTTTGGGCATCTCCATTTCGACTGACATACTGCCCCCTACGTACTGGAGCACAGGGTGACCAGTCGCATTGATGGTCTTGGTCTCTGCCACTGCGCGGTGGTCCAGCCATAGAATCACATTCTGATCACTACTGCCTTTCGGACCACCCACAGAGACTGGGTTGTTGGTCTCTTTGCTGAAAACAGCCAGAGAGCATGTGGCATCGAAAGCAAGACCTCGGATCCCGGATGGGTGCAAACCTGCTTCCTGTATAGCTTGCTTGACTGCCACACAGATGCTATTCCAGATGTCTCTGGTTGATTGTTCATAGAATTCCGGATGTGGTTGCCATGTTTTGATGCTCTGGGAAGCGAGACCAACAATATTGCCCCGGTGATCAATGACACAGGCACGCGCACTACCCGTACCTACATCGATACCAATGTAGTGAAACTCAGTGTTGCCAGCCATGCTGAATGATGGATATAAAACTCTTCTTGGATGAGAAGCTGCTTATATGTCTGCGCAAATCTAATAGAAATGGGATTCCATTGCGCCAAAATTGCAAAAGTCTCCAACTTGGAAACTGACAAAGCACGTCGGTGTATATTTTCGTGTACATTTAGATCTCGCCTGTTGGGACTTTCCCTAGTACAGAACCCCAAGGGGTGGCCCCCGAGACGAGGATATCCACGAGACGGTGATAATTGCCGTACCCAGGGCCCATGGTTCCAGGGCCCATAGTAGCCCCGTGGCTTTCTGGTCTCTCGCAACCGGTAAAGAGTATCGGGCCTAACTATTGTTGGCATAAAAAGAAGTCAAGATGAAAATTGAACATAAATAGGTCTTCCCATGTGTCTGAGGGGTGGAGGTCTACAGTGAAAACGTTGGGCTGTTCAAAATGGTTCTCTCCAAGCCTGATGATGCGCCTGTCCAGAAGCTTTTCGACTTGACCGGTAAAGTCATTGCAATCACTGGTAAGTGATATTTGACCATACACATCTATCTAGTGATTAACATATTAGGTGGCGGTCGAGGAATCGGCTTGGCTGTGGCTACTGCGTACGCTGAAGCTGGGGCTAAAGTACGTACCTGTTTTTCCATCTACGTTTCCAAATAAGAACTGTCTCTGATTTCTCATTCAGATTGCCCTTCTCTATCGCACAACTGCAACTACTCCAAAGACCGCGGAAGAGCTCGCTTCTAAATATCAGACACAAGCTCGCGCCTACCAGGCCGATGTCACTAGGCCCGAGGAAATCTCAATGGCCATTCACAAGGTCGCTGAGGACTTTGGCCGACTGGATGTGATTGTGGCCAATGCAGGTATCTGCTCTGAGCATGCGGGGGAAGAGTACACTCCGGTGGAATTCCAGGAAATCATGGAGGTCAATGTCAATGGCGCTTTCCACACTGCACAAGCTGCTGCACGGATCTTCAAGCGACAGGGTTACGGCAACGTGGTCTTCACGGCCTCTGTCAGTGCACTTCTGGTGAATACACCTCAACGACAGGCAGCGGTATGTACTTCCGAAATGGGAAAATTACCATCCCTCCAGGGCTGTTAGAACATCCCCAGCCTAACGTCAAGAAACAGTACAATGCGTCCAAGGCAGGTGTTTTACAGCTGGCAAAGTCACTTGCCGTTGAGTGGGTAGACTTTTGTCGTGTGAACTCTGTCTCTCCCGGCTACATCCAAACTCAGATCATGGAATACGCGTCTAAAGAGATGCTCGAGAAATGGCTAGGTCAAATTCCCGCACGGCGATTTGCATCTCCGTATGAGCTGAAGGGGGTATGGAACCACATCAGTATTTCCAGAGACTGAGAGTGTGCCAGCTAATTGAAATTATAGGCTTACCTCTTTTGCGCATCGGATGCTTCTAGTTACATGACCGGATCAAATCTAGTTATCGACGGCGGATTTACATTACCTTGAACAAGTTATGCTTTGGATCAGACGAAGATAGCCGGTTAATCATAGACCAACTAAGCCATTTAATGAATCAGCCTTTTGGCCAAACCTTTTGCATTCAACCTTAGAAAAAAGACTTAGGATTATGATCAACTTTGAGAGTACTGAATTAGTCGAAAACAAACCATTATTCCTTAAGAAATCATACAACAATCAAATTTCGATTTCAAACGCAGCGGTGGTCTTCTTGTATGAGATAAAAAGCAGTAGGCAAAGTCAAGCGCTGTAACCTCCGTTCTTGTCTGTGTTGTTCACCTAGTTTGTTGAGTACATCGAACACGGAGCTAATATATGGGTATGCTCCCTTTTCCTCTTGTCTTGGGTACCTTTAAATGCGCACAATATATTCAAAAATTTAGCTTCCAAAAGGAAAAAGCTATATTAAATTGATTATTTACAATTTTTGTGACAACAAAATCTAGTGAGTGCGTCCCTTCACAGTGCCGTCAATGCCTTCCAAGTCGCTATATAGGCGCCACTCATAGTCCAAGCTAGGATCATTGAAGCGAGCCTTCGCATCCAAAATCGAAATTTGTGCCATATCCTCAGGCTGCAGCTCGAAGTCGGACTCCAGGTTCTGCTCCACTTGCCAATCCACAACGCTTTTCGGGATGACGGAGCGCCCGCTATTGATACCCCATGCAAGTACCACCTGAGCTGTACTCTTGCCATACTTCTCAGCAATTTCTTTCATGATTGGCTGATCGATTACCCGCTTCATGTGTGCAATCTCCTTAGACCAGCCGGTCTGTCTGTAGAAATCGTTCATGTTACCCAGCGGGCTGAACTGGACGACGTGAATTCCCTGTTCCTTCAGCCACTTGTTGAATTCTTTCTGCTGCAGATATGGATGGACCTCCATCTGGTGGACTGCAGGGACCTGTAAATGGAATTAGCTCAATTCAAATTTGCGATAGCTGAAGAATCACATACGGTGCCAGTCTTCTCGAGCAACGTCTCAATCTCACCCTTACTGAAGTTTGAGACACCAATTGCTTTGACCTTTCCAGTCTTGGTTACATCTTCCATCGCTTTCCACGTATCCACAAAGGTGGTCTCGCCTCGGATCATCCGGCCTTCGGCGTCCCGAGGGAATCGATCGGCCCCACGCTTGAAGGTACAGGGATAGTGCATCAACAAGAGGTCCACGTAAGGGGTATCCAGGTCACGGAGTGAGTCATCCACGGCACGCTCCACGTCTTCAGGATGGTAGTCGTTGCACCACAACTTAGTACCGACGAAAATATCTTCGCGGGGAATACCGCTCTTCTTGATTCCCTTTCCCACCTGCTCTTCAACGTTGTAGACACGAGCAGTATCAATCAGGCGCATGCCCTTTCGCAGCGCTAGGCTAACAGTCTCTTCCTGGGAATCTGGGTCTTGGAATGTGCCAAATCCCAATGCGGGGATCTTCGCACCGGTGTTGAGCGTGTAGGAGGTTGCGCGGGTGGCGAGACCGCGAGTAACAAAATTTGATCGACATGGGGAGAATGATTTTCCTAACGGTGCTGCGCGAGCCGTTCTAGTTGCAAAATAAGCCATTGTCCAAAGGGTTAACTGAGCAGAGGAGTGTAAATGCTTAAATTTTCCCGAAATGAATGGGGTTATTCCAGGAGGTTTATGGCTGACTTTGGATCAACGGAGGGGATAAAAGTAGTAAATACTATACGCAAGATCATGGTATTTTCATGGCAATTAAATGCTCCCGCATTCAAATGGCGGGGCTATCAATTCTAAGCTACCCCAATCGAAGGTGGAGAAGCTAAACAAGGGGCTCGTGGCGGGACGTAGACGCGAGACGGGGACTCACCACCTCCGAGCTCGCCCCGGAAGACCCGATGTTTGTGGAGTCCGTTCCCCCACCTTTTCCCCAGAGGTCATATGATAGCTCCTGAGAGTCCCACCCGTCTTTAATGGGGGAGCCAGGGTTCCTACTATGACATGATGATGGATACAAAACGTGTGGAGAGTCCCCGCCTCGAGACCCCGGGGATGTGGAGTGCCTTTGCCATGGCAAGGTCGATTTGCTTCTTCTGGAAAACAACAGGGTCAGTATCTATACGAAGACTGCAGCTGGCGAAACTTTGATGTATTAGGTCAACAAATACCAGAACCAGCGAGAAGGGTCTTTGTTGGGCAGCTTCCTTCTCGGCGAGGCTGCTGGTATCAATGCCCCAATTGGGAAGAATGAGTCCCTCTATGGGTCTACACCTTGGACTCGGTATGATATTTATTGACTTGCCAAGAGCAGGAGCATCCTCAAGTGGTTGAGCTTGTCTTGGAGAACCGGTTGGCAGACTTGTTAAACACCAAAGTCCTGACAATCATTGTTGAATTTGGTCTTCTGGAGAAAGGTGCCTTCAATGACTCCTTTCGGGCGCAGTGCAACAATACCTCCACCGTTATACGGTTCCCATAGCCTGATGCCACTATTTTTCCTAGAGAAAAGTTCCGTGATGAGGTCACTATAATGCGACATATTCGACCAAACTTCAATCCTAATTCCTTTCATCTTACACCCAAGCGCAAAAATGAGGAAACCTCTGCAATTGAATCCTTTTTATTATAGAATATATCGCCAATGATGGGAATATGTGTTGTGTTCTTACCACGTCGAAATTGCTAGAAGCAGATAGTATGAATTTTTGACAGCAGCATTAGTGAGACCAAACTAGAAGAGGCTCTCTAAGCCAGCACTCTCCCCCCAAGGCCCGGATAGACTCTCTACACCAGGTTGATGATTTCACCTAGGAGTTGGCACATCGATCTCTATTAACATCGACCAATAAACTAGTTTAACTAGAGTCGCTATCCTAGTCTAATTTACCGGGATTCGGATGAATACACTCTATACATCAGAAGGGCGTGCACCATGCGACAGGGTGAAGCTGTAGAGAGACTAGTAATGTGTCAAATCAGCAAAATTGGTTTAATTGCAATTATACCTAGGTGGGCATGTTGGATTACATATATAAAAAGGGAGGGGTGTTTACCTCTTTGATAAAAAAAACATAATCAGCTCACAATGTTAGGGCATTCTAGAACATGTGATTCTATTCTTCCCAAACACTTTACCCTTTATAACAGCATATTCCCAAAACACTAGAGACTCTCCTTATGGACTCTGTGACGAAGTTATTCAGTTTCAGACAAGATCACTGTGGCACCATATAATATAGCCCCCACAAGGTCAACGAATCGACGCCAATACCCTGGCAATCAATCCAGAATTAGCCTCAGTCTACATCAGGATTCCCCCTTCTTCAAAATGCGGTAATGCTTTGATCTTAATTAGTGGGGATTTCCCCGCGTAGGTCAATTGAGACCTTCTGGCCCGAAGGAATGTATCTCCTTCATTATTATAATATAGGAATAGACTGGTATCACAAGTAACAACGGCAAAACACAAGCGATGGCTTGTAGAGTCCAGTCTAATATGTACCAAATATTTTACATGGCACCTACTATATACCTAGGTAGGTATCTAGGCAATGCAAGGGCAATTGCTAAAGGTAAAGGTGAGGCTCTGCGGGTTTACCCTGCCCAAGTGGTTCCTTCCCTTTTAAGTCAGAACTTCCAACCTGGGAAGGTTATCACCCACCGCACTTTCCCCAGATCCTTAAGCCATTAGAAAGGTATAAATACCCCCCTGCCCCTCATTTCTCTCTCTTTTTCTTTCTTCCTCCTTCACATCTCTTCTTTTCTCTGGTTCTCCACTTCCACTTTTCAAGGTTTCACCTTGCACCTTCCACCTTGGTCACCTTCCACCATGACCCTATCCACCATGGACCTTCCATATTGGTCATGCATCTGGACCTTCCATCATGACCCCCATCTACTATGGGTCTTTCACCTTGGACCAATCTACCATGGACTTCCCATCTCTGCTATGCATTAGGACATGCACCTTCCACCGTGGTCACCTTCCATCATGGTCACCTTCCATCATGGTCACCTTCCATCATGGTCACCTTCCATCATGGTCACCTTCCATCATGGTCACCTTCCATCATGGTCACCTTCCATCATGGTCACCTTCCATCATGGTCACCTTCCATCATGGTCACCTTCCATCATGGTCACCTTCCATCATGGTCACCTAGATCATCCAACAGGACCTTGCGCCATGGCCTTCTACTATGACCACTTTGAACTATAAGCATTCCTTGTGATGTCCCTCTATTCATCCCAAAATACAAACCTCGCTGACAAGTTTCTAGTAACATTCATACCCTCCCCGTCAACTTCGATCACTCATCGATCCAATCCAATGACAACTAGTCTGACCGTGGCGGGCTTTGGCTTCAGGACAATCGGTAGACTGGTCACAACCACCTCAATCATCCACCTCGATCAACCATCCATTTGAATCAACCCTTCACTCAAATCAACAACATCCACCAGTCTGGCCGTGGCGGGCTTTAGCTTCAGGACAATCGGCAGACTGGTCAATCAACCTTCGATGAACCACCTCGACTAACTACCCACTCCATCTATCCATCCAGTCGAATCAACCACTTCCAGTCTGATCGTGGCGGGCTTCGACTTCAGGACAATCGGCAGACTGGTCAGTCAACCTCCCCCGAGCATCCACTTCTATTATCCACTTCAATCACCTATCCACTCGAATCCACGACCACAGCCAGTCTGACCGTGGCGGGCTTCGGCTTCAGGGCAATCGGCAGGCTGGCCAAAACCACTTCAATCAACCACTTCGAACAACCACAACAAGTCTGGCCGTGGCGGCCTCCGGCTTCAGGACAATCGGCAGACTGGTCAATCAACCTTCGATGAGCCACCTCGATCAATTGCCCACAATATGACCACCTTTTCCAATTGTGACCACATTTTTTTCAAATAACAACCTTGACAACCATCTTCCAATCAACCATCTTCCAATCAACCATCTTCCAATCAACCATCTTCCAATCAACCATCTTCCAATCAACCATCTTCCAATCAACCATCTTCCAATCAACCATCTTCCAATCATCTTGACAATGATTCACAACGGCCGTCCTCCACTGTGAAGATCGTCCATCCACACCGCTATGAACCTTTCATTGCCAGCTTTCCGCTACCAACATGAGCCTTGCATCATCAGCATTCTACCACGACCACCATGAGCCATCATCGGCCTTCCACATTGACCACCATATAGCCACCATCGGCCTTTCATCGTCGGCCTTCCACCAACTCCGAACATTTGGTCAATGCAACTACTGTTGGGTGGATATAATATCCACCAAATGCATCGTGGGGGTCTTCAATGGAGGTTGTCATTGGGTTTCAGCATGTATTATGGCTATGGTTTTCAATGTTCTGCCTCTCTCGTGTATCCTTCATATATTGTTTTTCTGGGCATCATGCGCAATTTAAGACATATTCCACTTTATTTCTGCCTCTATGCCTCTGTAATAAAAGTATCTAATGTAAGGAGTAGAAGACACTAGTCTCAATAAAAAAGCCTTGGATTAAAAAGAGGGTAAGGTTGTTCGCTGCATCTTGACAGTAGTAAGAAGCCACGCAATTATCAAACAGAAGTAGGGAGTGTCATCAATCATCACATCGTCCGAAACCCTCCAAAAAAAAGTATTCACCGCACGCCAGCCCAGATACTCTGCGTAGAGCACTGGGGAATGAAAGGGGAAGAAAAGCAAGCGCCATCATTGCAAAAACAGCCTAAAATAGAAAGCAAGGGGGGGAAAGATCTTGAAAAGTTGTAGCCGAAGGTGCGCACAGGATCATACAGGGTCATACGTCCTCAACTTCGACGACTCGCTCCACAATCCAGTCTGCAAAAGCCTGACCCTCGAGTTTCCACCGTCCATCAGCCCACACGTCACTGAGCCAGTAAGCCCACGGCTTACTCGAAGATGTAAGCTGCAAATCCCAAATTGAGGCCGTGGCGCGGCGATTCATAGAGTGGCTATCGGCCCCTGCCGAGAGATCATGATTGACGTTGCGGAATCCAGCAGCCGAAGTTGGGTTGCTGGCACCGGAATTGCCTTGTCTGATCCGCCATTCACGCTCGGCTTTCTCACCTGCACGGCGGGCGACCGCTTCCTCGTCTTCTGCTTGGTAGAGATTGCATTTGGTGCATTCTGTGCAGCGGGACCCAGGGTTGATGCGGAAGTGCTCACAGAAGTGTTTGTAGCCTTCTGGTTCTTCGAATTCATCGTCATCATACAAGTTGCCTGCCACCTGTTCATCATCAAATGGATCGTGGGGTATATCGGCCGGGCCATCGAAGGCATCTAACCCGCGGGGGGCACGGGCAGGCGCGGTTGTTTGTACGGGTGGGCCTAGTGCCTTGCGGCATAGGTAGCACATGGAGTAGCCACAAACGCAAGTCAGTTTGTTGCAGCCTGAGGACTTGACGAATGAGAGGCAGCAGCGGGGGCAGGTGCGTTTCACGGCGGCGGTGCGGGCAGCCTCAACGGTAGCGCGCAAGTCGAGGAGTAACGGCTCATGGCACACATGTGGATCTCGCCACGATTTATGGCATGTCATGCAGCTAATGCGTGAGCACGAGGGGTTGGCACAGGTGAATCGTTTAGGTCGGATTTTGAGGCAAAGGTTGCGAATGGCATTTCCGAAGACTGCTGTTACAGTGGCTGGGTCCAAAAGGAGTAGAATAATAACAGGGATTACGAGTAAAGGGACAAGGTCAAGGAGGAGGAGGGTCATCAAAATCGTCGGAATAATGCCACCGTCACGACGGAATCGCCAGCGGACACCATGGGGTGAAGGATGGTAGACTGGGTCGATTTCAGCATAGGAGCAGAATGGACATCTAACGAGCTTCAATTGAGACTTCATAAGTGCCTCAGAGGAGAGCCGATCCTCGAATTTGCGGTACGTTTCAAAGCCAGCCGTATCGAGAAGAATTGCCTGCTTGACGATCTCTGGATGAAGACATCCCTCGCACGACCCAATGGATAATGGCGCAAGACACTTCAAAGTAGAGCGCTCTAAGTCAACAGACTTGCCCCAGCCCTGCCCAAACAGCGCTTCATAGACAGTTCTTTGGATGCAGTGGTAGCAAATGATGTGAACGTTAGTGGAACATGTCGCGATCTGCTCAAATGTCACGTCCGCGAAACAACACTCGCATTCGTAAAGGGAATTGAGTTCTTGGGCTTCCTTCTCATTCAACTCTGAGGCAAATCGGAAATCCGTATCATGCTGCTCTTCACGCTTCTGCCGCAACAGTGGGGCCAGCAACATCTCGTGGAGCTCTGCATCCAGTTCGTTGCACCCGGTTTCCTTCAGAACAGGGACAAGTTCCCCGTCTTCTCGACGATGCCAGGCCAGAAGCGGGTGTTCTTCACGGTCCTTCTTCCGCCTAAAGGACGGGAACATGCTGTTGAATGTCGCACGCCATGTCCGACGCGACAGATCCCGAAGCGTCGGTCGAGCCCGAGCATAGCTGAAATTTACTTCAGCTAGAACAGCCTCCACTGTACTCTTATTCAGACCATTATATTCTCTTGTCATGGCCATCCGCACAGCGGCCTTATATTCGTCGGACCGAAACCGCTCATCAGGAGGGACCAGACCGCCTTTACCAGTGTCATGCCGAGCAAAGTTGTCGCCTCCAGGGGATGGGGGAGCATTTCCCTCTGCCTCAGCTTCAGTAGTTCCTTCCGGGAGATTCCAGCGCCCCGAAACCCATTTCTTCTTATGCCTGAGTAGCTCCTCCACACACACTTGTAACCGGCTCTGTCCGTCAAAACGTAGCAGTAGCTCGCGGAACACCTCTATCTGTACATCGGGAAAGATTCGAACTAGAGTCTCAAGTGCGGTATTGAGTTCCTCCTGTTCCCGTTTGTGCTCCTCTGTTTCGTGGGTCGAGAGCTGGACGGGGCCGCGAGATCGGGAGGTACTGCCGAAAGGGTTATTTCGCAACGCTTCAAGGGTGATAGAGTAGCTGTTGGGAGAGGATCCAGTTTGTCCTAGAGATGGCTTTCGGGCATTGCGACTGGACGAGGAGCTGGTTGAAGAACCGGAGGCTGACTTTCGGTGAGATTGGGTGCCGTCGGCGGGGCGGGATGTGGAGGATTTGGAGAAACCAGGTACTGGCAGCGAGAGCACCATGATTGTACAGGCTTTACATGGTTTGGGAATATGAAAGTGTCAGAGAATATCAGAAGATGCCAGAAGATGTCAGTGGGGGAGAGAATATAAGAATGTGTTGAAGCAGTCCTGGAGCCTAGAATGAAGAATGAAGGATTTGTTACATAAGACGACCTTCCGCTATTGTTCTTTTTTATATTCTTTCTATTCTTTCTATGCTTTCTGTTCTTTTTATATCTACCTCCAGTCAGCTTTCTGTTTGGTAGATAGTGACCCCCTTCTTTTAAACCATATCACATACACAGACTGTCTGAGACTGCAGAATGTCACTTGATCCTTGTGATAGCGCTGATACATCAACCCACACCATATGATACATCTGAGCCCCAAGCCACTTGAACAAGCAAATGAAATCTCAAAGATCGCATGCTCCTTAGGAATACGGTTCAAAAGGATCACGCAATGCCGGACAATATCATTGGAATAACAAAGAATTTAAATGTCTTCCGGCCCGATAACTATTGAAAGCAAAACATATGTGATTCACTTTACCATACATACACAGTCGTAGATGGATCAGATACCTCTCAGTCCAAAGTATTCAAAAATAGTCTAGAATTTCCAAGTCGGTATAGTTATGTAGTTACCAAATTCAGATACATCTCATTGGCCTCATGGGAAAAACTAGAAAGACAGGAAAAACATCACAGGTAGTATATACAAAAAAAGAAGCAACAGTCTGATCCAAGTGTTCCGGCTCGCTTTGCCAATGGGAATATCGCTTCAACCAAAGATTTCATATTTTACAGCTTGGCCTTAGCGCCCTCCAGGAGCTCCGCACCGGCGCCAGTGATGGCAGGCTTGCCAGTCTCAACAACGGTGGCCTGGAACAGGACGGTGTTGCCCTCCTTCCACATCTCAGTCTTAAGGGTCTGGCCAGGCAAGACGACACCCGCGAAGCGAACCTTGAGGTTCTTGTACGGACCGAACTTAGAGAAGACAGCCTTGGACGACACACCGAGCGAGCACAGACCGTGCAGGATGGGGGTCTTGAAGCCGCCGACCTTGCTGAACTCAGGGTCGATGTGGAGCGGGTTGCGGTCACCGTTCAGGCGGTACAGCGCTGCCTGGTCCTCAGAGGTCTTCTCCTCAACCACGGCATCGGGCTGGCGCTGCGGCGCCTTGTACGCAGCAGTGGCAGCCTTGGCGCGCACAGCAGTGGGCTTGGAAGAGCCTCCGAAGCCGCCACTGCCGCGGATAAAGACGCTGGACTCGTTATAGAACAAATCCTCGCCGGTCTTGGCATCCTTCGTTGTGTACCCGGCGATGACGATGGCTGCGTTGCCCTTGTCGATAACGTCAATAAGCTTGGGATAGGTCAGGGTATTGGCGGTAGTGGGGATGGGGAACTTGCGAACCTCCATGTACTGCTCGCCGTGAAGCAGCATCATGGGGGAGAAGTCCTTCACCAATTCGTCCATGTTCCAGGGAGTAACGGTGTTGAACCAGGGGATAACACCATACGAGGGAAGGGCCTGGAACTGGTCGTTGTTCTCATAGACCAGAGGCAAGTCGGTGCGCTTGGCGCCCAAACTGAGGTTGTACAGGATCACATCGCGGTCCTCGTAGTTGAAGGGAGTACCCTCGCTCGAAAGGGCCTTGGCCTTCTCGATGTTCTTCAGGATCTCGTTCTCGCTAGAAGTATCGCCGTGCACGCGGTTAGACATGTTAGCCATGATCTTCTCCACGCCGGCCTGGCCGTCCTCGGGGTGATCAGCGCGACCGTCATCGAAGTTGGTGATTTGTGCCCAGTTACGAACCACCTCCTCGGGGGTCAGCTTGACGTCCACGGGGAAGCCGTGGCCGCCAGTGCGCTGCCAGCGGGTGCGGCCGAACCAACCGCTACCACACTCAAACAGACCCTTGGTGGAAGGCTCAGGGGCCATATCAGAACAAAGCAAGACCACAAGGGGGGGCAACATAGTCGGGCTTGAAAGCCTGGACCATCTCCTCGGGCATAATAGTACGGGTCATGTTAGTACCCGCATTAGGAGCAATGGTGTTGACCTTAATGTTGTACTTAGCACCCTCCAAAGCTAGAGTGCGGGAAAGACCCAGGATACCAAGCTTGGCAGCAGCGTAGTTGGCCTGGCCGAAGTTGCCGTAAATACCGCTGGTACTGGCAGTGTTGACAACACGACCGTACTTCTGCTTGAGGAAGTAAGGCCAGGCAGCCTTGGTCACCTTGTAGGTACCACGGAGGTGGACATTAACGACGGAGTTCCACAGGTTATCATCCATATTGGTGAAAGCCTTGTCGCGCAAGATGCCGGCGTTGTTCACCAAGATATCGATGCGGCCGAAGGCATCAATGGCGCTCTTGACGACGGCATCACCGTCCTCGCAGCTGGCCTTGTTACCAACAGCCTTGCCGCCCAGCTTCTTGATTTCCTGGACCACCGGCTCAGGGTCAACAAGATCGTTGACCACAACGGAGGCACCGAGCTTAGCGAACTGCAAGCAATAGGCACGGCCGAGACCGGCACCACCTCCAGTGACCAGGGCAACACGGCCCTTGAAATCGGGCTCCTCTCCAGGGGGGGCGCTGGGTGTCTTCAGACCATCTTCCAAAAAGGCCATGAAGTCAGCAGGGCCAGTGGGATATTCGGGCTGAGAGAAATCGTTGACATCGTTCCACTTCCGGGCGATAGCACCAGGGGTCAGGGAGTCATCGGTCTTCAGGAGACCACCCTTAGCTCGCTCCCAGCGGAGCTTAGCAACGTGACCACCGCCGACCTCGTAAATACCACCAGTCTCTGTGGTGTTAGATGAGTGCACGAGGGCAGCGACCAAAGGAACCACCCAGTCGGGCTTGAGGTTCGCCAGAACATCAGGGGGCATGACAGTTTCAGTCATGCGGCTGGCAGCTAATATGAGGTTAGCTTCCCCAGATTCATGGGTTGGGGTTTTGTAACTTGCTTACCAATTGGAGCAATAACGTTGGCAATAATGTTATACTTGGCACCCTCCTTAGCCAGGGTCTCGGTGAAACCGACCTGGCCGAGCTTGGCAGCTGAGTAGTTAGCCTGGCCGAAGCTGCCGAATAGACCAGCAGCCGAGGCAGTGTTGATAACACGGCCAAACTTTTGTTTGCGGAAGTGAGGCCACGCGGCTCTTGCGCACTAAACAAAGAATGAGTCAGTTCCTGTTTCCATAACTTGTTTTTATGTGTCCGAGGATTCTCACCTTGTATGCACCGTAGGTGTGAACTGTGTTGATCAGATCCCAGTCGGCATCCGTCATGTTCTTAAAGCTAACATCCCGCAGGATACCAGCGTTATTGAGCAGAATATCAATGCGACCGAAGGTCTTAATAGCCGTCTCGATGATAGCATCACCGTTCTCGACGCTGTCGTAGTTGGCGACAGCCTTACCGCCAGCGGCCCGGATCTCCTCGACGACAACATCTGCGGCCTGGAGTAGCTATCAGTATCTGTCTGCCTCATTCGTAAATGTTGCACATACCTTTCCTGACTTGCCCTCGCCCTTGTGAGAGACACCGAGGTCATTCACGACGACATTTGCACCTCTTGAGGCGAAGAAGAGAGCATATGCTTTCCCCAGACCACCACCGGCACCGGTGACGACCACCGTTTGGTTATCGAATCGCAACTCGGACATTTCTGTGTATATCCGAAAGTTAAGTGGATAATAGAAAGAAATGAAAGAAGAAAGCTGGAGAAGAGGGGAGTTTAAAGCAACTCGGCAAGCTGGGGAACCTCGGCACGTTTGGGTTGGTTTTGTAACGAAATCTTGGGGTATCGTTACAATGGCAGATCGTCCCGTATCACATGCCGTAGTCCATGTTACTTCCATACACACCTGTAACATATGTATATTTGGTAATTTTAATGAAAAGTGAATATTATATTGACTTATGCATGAGACATATGCAAATATATACAATAGTATAAGGTGGAATAGGTGTAATATCTGTAATAGCTGTAATAAGTGTAATAAGTGTAATAGCTGGAAGAGTGTATATGTCTGGGCCGAGTACTTGCTGACTCAGGCATGTGACGGGCAACGTCATTGTCATGTGCATACAATCGTTCTTGTATAAGAGTCAATTAGTGATTTAACCATATTTGACCATATTTGACTATTGTCTTAAATGCGCGAGAAAAAAAAAACACTCTTAACATGTTAGGCCAAAAGTAGCGGCTGAATATATCCCGTGGGGGGGAAACGACCCCAGATTCACTCGGCCGATTAGAGGGAGAAACTTGAATGTTTCCCGCGCACCGTAGCCGATAGATACATAAGACCGTGCGATAGAAAACTACAAGTATTCGGTAGATAAAATTAAGTCAAAATGCCCGAAATCGTGGACGATAAGTCGCAGCACTGTATCCCCTTCCTACTCGATCGCCTGCGCGTTCATACCGAGCGGCACCGCGGCAACCCCAATACCCCGCCGTTTTTCATCGGTCTCAATGGCGTGCAGGGTGCGGGCAAGACAGTTCTGGTGAGTCGATCCAGAGCTGGTCAATTTCTCATGCCTCGGGATCTCGTTCAATTTCCTCGGAATGGAATTTGATACTAATCCCTCTATAGGTATCCGCTCTCAATGACACCCTCCGATCGGAGCCATACTCGCTCTCGGTCGTGACCTTGTCGCTCGATGATATCTACCTTGACCACACCGACCAGGTAGCTCTAGCACAAGCGCATCCTTCAAATCCCCTCCTACAGCATCGTGGTCAGCCTTCGACTCACGACCTCGCATTGGGTGAGGAGGTGTTTGCTTCGCTCGCCGCTGAACGTCCGACGGCCATTCCACAGTATGACAAGTCTGCATTTGAGGGTCAGGGTGATCGTGTTCCAAAGTCTCAATGGAATGTCGTTAATAAAGAGAGTCAAGACAAAGTCAAGGTCGTGATTTTTGAAGGGTGGTGTGTCGGGTTCCGTGCGTGGGATGACCAAACCCTGCGTGCAAAATGGGAGGCCGCTGTGTGTCAAAAGGAGACTGGCGAATACGATGGACGACTAGGCCATGTCAAGTTCGAGGATGTCAAGGCTGTAAACGACGCTCTGAAGCGATATGATATCTTGACTGAGTGGGTTTTTTCGGCCATTTAAGACTGCAACTAGAAGCTTTGCTAATATGGGGTTCTTTTTCCTTCACAGCAAGCTTGATGCTTTGGTCCATATGTATGTGCTTTTTTGCCGCTCGACATACTTTCATTCTACTAACTAATCTCAGCGACGCCAAAAACCCTCGTTTCGTCTACGAATGGCGTCAGGAACAAGAGCGCACGCTCCGTGCTGCCAAAGGCACCGGAATGACCGAAGAGCAAGTCAAACACTTTGTGGATGGCTGTACGCATATACTCGGTAACACCATTGATGAGTAAATATACTAACTCGGATGATCGATGTAGATTACCCATCCTACGAGCTCTTTACTGAAACCCTCCGCGACGGCGCTTTCAAGCCCACGCCGCATAACTTATCAGCATCAAGCTCAGACTGGCAAGGACGACAGCTCTGCCTTGTGGTTGACCGTAACAGAAGAGTTCAGGAGGTCATTAAAATCTAATTGGGGTGGGCTAACATAGAAACGTCAGAAGAAATGCAGTATCACATGGATATTGAATATATATATGTGTATATATCTCGATATATCGCCCCAATTTCAGGACTGTCCACTCCTGTTCTGGGATTGGCATTAAACCAGGTTCCCATTGGGATGTAGCAACCTCCGATAAGATAGTATTAAATATTGATCTGTAGATTGTCTCTCCGAATTAAAAACTGGTAAATCTGATAGAATATGATGTAGACACATGATGAACTGACCACAACCCAGGCTCTAGAGAGAAAGTAAACCACTTGTAATTGGTTAAGTACAGCTATGAGCTTGATATTCGAGGTACTAGGCTTCATGAAATTATGAAAGGGTAGCTTTAATAACATAGCGTCGAAAACACTGAGGCTACAGGATAGCGCGAGATGGGATTCGGACCTCGGGACAGTCTTCGGGCTTACAAAATCCCGATTACTACCAGCCTTGGAGTTCCTGGTACAAGGTTGTAAACTAAAATGGCTGGGAATACAATTACGGGACAAAAAATACAACTGGAACCAGGCCCATGACCATGAAATTGGGTTGTTTGAAGCATTAAATTGATCGGAAATCCCAGACCATCGTATCGCTAAAAATAATTGACTAGTGGATATAAACAGCCCGTGCAAAAAACAACCCAAGACAGTAAAGTCGTAAAATTTTGTGTAACATTTTTAGTGCGCTCACAGAACGCCCCAACCCGAATTCTTCATGAGAAGAAATCTAGTTCATCTGGCGAATGAGAGCGTTGATGTTCTCCTCACGGTTACCGGTGTCACCACCCTCGATGTAGTGCTTGAACTTGCGAGTGCGGAAACCACCAGTGGGGTTGGACAGCTTGAAGGGCCAGAGGAAGTTGTTGGCCTGCTTGAAGTTGGGGCCAACAGTGTAAATCTCGTGGATGAGATCCTCCATGCAGACAATGCCGAACTTGCCGAGGTGCTCCTCGATGATCTGGTTGTCGGTGAGGGGAGTGCGCTGCTTGTCGACCTTTCCGTAACCACGCTTGTACAGAAGCTCGCGGACGGACTTCAGGTTGGGGTAACCGTAGGCAATGTAGGGGTTGACAATGGTCAACATCTCCTGGGTAGCCTTGGTGAGACGGATGAAAGTACCAGAGTTGATCTGGAGCAGACGCAGGAGCTGGAGGATCTTGCGGGGCTTGGGGGCAATCTTGTTGATACCCTTGATACGGACAACGAAGACGAGCTTGGGCTCACCCTCAACGAAGAAGCTGCCCTCCTGGCGAGCAACGCGGTTGAGGCGGATCTTCTCGCGCTCAGCGGTGCGGTACTCCTGGACGTAGGACTCAGCACGCTTGAAGATAACTCCACGCTTCTCCTTGTTGGCCTATATGAATCTCAGTTAGCATGAGAGTTCTCCAAAGTCTTGTGAAGAAAATGGCAAGTAGTTTGTGCAACTAATGTCAGACCCGAAAGATGGTTGACAGACGACAGCATTGACCGTGGTAGCGGTCTAGTCATCGTGAATGGTGTTATGCATCATGTAGTTGGAAGGAAGTGTGGTGAAGTGAAAGAAAGAGGGTAAACTGACCTTCTTGGTCTTCTCGGCCTCGGCACGGCGCTCAGCGCGGGCAGCCTCTTGAGACTTGCGCTTCTTCAGAAGGGTCTCGGGAACGAGGACCTGGTTCTGGGTGGGAACGGAGCTGTGTAATGTTAGAACAGTCTGTCCAAAATAGATCGAGACTGAGACAATTCGCCGAGTGAAAGAATTGCAGCATATAGCGCCACATTCTCAACCAAGGCATAAAAGAACTCGACGAAATGTCTTTAATCAGTGAGGGCCAAGGCATCGGGGGTTCAAGATCGATTGCAGTTTGGTACTAGCCATGCATATTTCAGCATAGTGTTCGCAAAGCCGATCACCCACCAGATGCCATTGATGCCTTCATCCGACAAAACCCTGAACAATGTTCAGGAAATATATGTTGACACTCTTTCGCTTCAGGACCACGATGCTGTTACCACATCACGAGTGCCCGAGAGCGATAGTTCACAACAATATTTTTGGAGGAGAAGGCGCCAGGCGCTTTCAACCTCAAGACTCCATCACCCTTTTTTCTGTATCCGAATTTTGCTCCGTGATAGACAACAAGTGTATCCGAGATAATTGGACTCAAGAGAGAGGGCAGGAAGGATCGAGCTGGTGCCTAACCGTCACCGTTGTTGGACAAACGGCTGGCATCCCCAGCGAGAAGGACGACTATACCCGCAACCTTACAAACTCAAGCAGAGATTGCATCAGTCTTAGGAAGAAGTCATTGGGAATCATACGTAGTAGCGGCCATTTTGAAGGTCCGGACGAGGTCGAGAGTCGGCTGGTTGTCGAAGGATATCAAAGGAAGAAGAAAAAGTTCGAAGAAAAGGAATGTAAGAAGAGACTTCGCTTGTGTGGGTGCGGGCCCCCTAACCAAAGTAGGCTAGCGTATAATATAACCAGCACTAACCCGTTCTGGGCCCAGCCCTTATCGGGCTCTGGATAAGGGTTTCCCTCTTATCAGATGACTTCATGGATCCGTCCATGGATGCCTGACCCGCCTGGGGTAACTACATGTAACCAGGACTATCAAGTGAACACTGATCCCCCTTACACTCCATATATCATGTCTCGCCGCGGAGTTGGCCTCGGGGCCTTTGCAAATCGAACCCAAGCAACACAATCTTATGCTACTCATGGCGCCAATCTCCGCTCTACGCATACTGCCTCCCTGCAGACCCAGTTATCGGTTTTCCAGTCGTTGCTCCACACATTTGCGCTAGAACATAGCTCTACGATAAAGTCCAACCCGACATTCAGGGCAGAGTTTGCGCGCATGTGCAACACCATCGGGGTTGATCCCCTTGCCGCAAGCAACGTCAAAGGCAAGAATGGCCGTCGTGGACTGGGAGAGGGGGGGCAGCTTCTGGACCCAGATTATGGGCGGAGATATGAATGACTTTTACTTTGAGGTCGCAGTTCGAGTTGTTGAGTTATGCAGAGAGACCAGGAGCGAGAACGGTGGGTTGATTGGTGTTGAGGAGTGTCGGAAGCGAGTGGGGAAGGGCAAAGCGATTGGTAGTGGACTTGAAGTTTCAGAGTATGAATTGTTCCTTCCAGAAATGTGGATATCTATACAAGTGATTGACTTAACTATGTGTTCGACAGTGACGACATCCTACGAGCAGTTCGGTCTCTCGAGCCTCTTGGCTCCGGGTTCTCCATCGTCAAGGTTGGCAGCAAGCAGTACATTAGGTCCATCCCTAAAGAACTCAATACAGATCAGGCAACAGTCCTGGAGGTGATTCAGGTGCTGGGCTTTGTGAGCGTTTCAATGCTTCGGTTGAACCTCAAATGGGAAAAAGCTCGAGCACAAACTGTGATCGATGACCTGCTTGCTGATGGTCTAGTCTGGTTGGATGCTCAGGGCCCTGAGAAAGAGTACTGGTCACCCCAAAATCTTCTGGAGGATAGTGGATGAATCAGGAGCCTCATGTGATTGCCATGGAAATCACAAGCTCATAATACCTCGTGCGGATATCCCTCGAGCTACACCTTTTTGAGAGAATCCCAAGTCATAAGTATGTGGCTCTCGAGATTTTGCCCGTCCAAGCATTGATGGTGCATTTAATAATTGGCGTTTCGAGAGGGGTAACATTCACCCTTCCCTTCCGGGCCCGTCGGTCAAATCATGGCAAGCTACAGTTTGCTCGATGCCATCATCTGGGGCATTCGTATTGCGGGAATTGATACTACAAAAAAGACGCCATCCAATTCATGTAGAGATATTTGAATTTGAGTGAAAGGCGAGCAAGCATTATCGGCAAGGATCAAACACAACCGATCGTACACTACAGGAATTCGCCAAGAGAGCGACAAACCTCCTAATGATGCCTTTGTGTTATTTATTTTTATAAATTATCGTGCTCCTTATACAGTCATCACGACTTATTCTATTTGTCTGACGAATGTGACGAATCTGAAGTTTATTTATCTCATTTTTGGGTGTTGGGGTAGCATGGCATTGCGTGATATGGAGGGACAAGCATGTAAGAGATCCCCGCATGGGGACTATATATAAACTATCTCATATTCCATGAAAAGTAATAGTCCATTGATTTTCATATAATTGAACCCAACAACCATACTCCATATACCCTGCCATCATGTCCCAAGCTAGTGTTCCGGCGACAGACCCCGCTGTCTACGCCGAATACGAAACCACCTGGTCCAATCTCCCGGACACTGAAGAAGCATGGATTGCTAGAGCCCGAGAGGTCTCTGAAGTGCTAGCCAAAGACGCGACTCAAAGAGACCAGGAGAACAAATCACCGCGCGCCGAAGTGGCCCTGCTCAAGCATTCGGGCCTGACAAAGCTTCTAGGGCCCAAGAAGTATGGTGGTGGCGAGCAGCCCTGGAGCGTTGGATATAAGGCAATTAGAGAGGTTGCCAAAGCAGATGGGTAACATCCAAGCATCCCGCATGGCTCCCAAGGATAGTCCCTAACAAGAAGACAGATCTATCGGTATGCTGCTTGGCTATCACCTTCTCTGGTCTACCATTGCAAATGTGGTTGGCACTCCTGAACAAGCCGACCGAACCCATCAGTTGATCATTTCAAACAACTACTTTGTCGGCGGCGCCGTGAACCCCCGCGACAATGATCTGAAGATCACTCCAGATGGAGACCATATTGTATTCAGCGGGAACAAGTTCTTCAACACTGGAGGCGTTGTGTCTGACCTGACAGTCCTTGAAGGTGTAGTGGATGGTACACAAGATCATATCTTTGCTCTGGTCGAGACCCGACAGCCCGGTATCCAGTTTGCTCACAACTGGCACAACATTGGGCTGCGCCTGACCGAGTCTGGAGGCGTGAAGATAGATAATGTCCGTGCTTCTTGGTCAGATGCACTGGGCTGGGATTCAGCTACCAAGAAGCCCCGCGATGATACCCTGAAGATCGCGTTCCCTACTTTATTGTTGCCAACGTAAGTGCAGTCTATGTCATTGCATATGCCATGCTCTCTCAGCGGTTGCATAGCTCAAACACTGACTCGCTTGTTCCTATAGCATCCAACTGGTCTTCAGCAATTTTTACTTGGGCATTGCTCTCGGTTCTTTGGATTTCGCCTCCAAATACACCACAACCGCAACACGTGCTTGGCCATTCGGTGGGGAAAACAAGGATTCAGCAACGGATGAGTTCTACATCCTCGAACGGTATGGTAACTTCTTTGCGCATCTGCGTGCCACTGAAGCCCTTGCCGATCGAGCCGGCGATCAACTCTCAGGGCTTTATACTCGATACCAAGCGCAGAAATCTGGTCTCACAGCCCAGGAACGTGGAGAGGTTGCGGAGTGGGTCGCTAGCATCAAGGTGGTCGCCACGGATGTCGGACTCAGAGTTACTTCTGGTGTATTTGAAGTGACTGGAGCTCGAGCCACTGCCTCAAAGGTTGGACTGGATCGATTCTGGCGGGATATTCGAGTACACACTCTTCATGATCCCGTGGCGTACAAGAACCGGGAATTAGGACGATATGCCCTGCTGCATGAAGTGCCTGAGCCTAGTTGGTATACTTAGTTGTGGATCAGAACTAGATGTAAATGCATATCGATATAAATATTAGTATGAATATATGCAGGGTTAAAGCTGTGAAAGCTGTATAATGTACTATACACAGAGTACTTCGTAGACAACATCAAGGGTCTACAGATAAGAGCCCCGCACACCCGCGGGCCGATAGCCTTTCGGTCCGACTTTTTTTTTTTTTTTCTCCCCTCCATTTTCCTTCTCCGTGGAAAAAAAGACATTTGACAGCTGTGATCACTTCACTGGTTGATACTTGGTCTTTATTGGACTATAATTTATCATCTTCCTATCTCTATTCAATTTCGGAATCATCCTAACAACCGCCAAAATGTCGCAAAAGCAATATGCTACTTACAACGATGTAAGAATCCCAGCCCATTAACTATGACAATATCTTCGTTATGTTTGTCCCAAAAAAAGAGGTCGAAGACACCGAAGACACACATGAACAGTCAACCCCGCAAAACAAAAATTGCAGATTGTCTTATCGCAGTCCACAATTATAATCCCTCCGAACTTTAAAAGGACCAAGACTAATGCAAATCACCTCAACAGGTCCACAATCTCTGCAAGAACTCGGCAGAAGGACCTCTCAAGTCCTTCGACATCAACCTTATAATCGCCATTGGTGGTGGTGGTTACATCCCTGCTCGCATCCTCCGGTATGTTCAACCTGCACGTGCCCCTTCATCTGGACTATACTGATTTCTACTTGCCAAACAGGTCCTTCCTCAAGGCTCCGGGTGGACCTAACATCCCTATTCAGGCCATCGGTCTGTCCCTCTACGAGCGCTTGGGCACAGACAGCGTCGAGGAGGTCCCCGGTACCAAGGTCACCCGCTTGCAATGGCTCGACATGAACTCCTCGATGGCCAACTTGATTGGCAAGAACGTTCTTATCGTTGACGAGGTTGATGATACCCGCACAACCCTACAATACGCTGTGAAGGAACTCGAGGACGATGTTAAGGAAGCCCAGAAGCAGCTCGCTGCTGATGACGAAAAGAAGAACTTGAAGACTAACTTCTTTGTCTTCGTTCTGCACGTATGTTTTCCTTTGTCTCTCTCGGGGTTGATTGGGTTGACTAACAAATGGAATAGAACAAGGACAAGCCCAAGAAGGGTGAACTGCCCACAGATATGACGGAAAACGACCAGCGTTACCACGCCGCGGTCACCACTGGGGATGTCTGGATCTGCTACCCTTGGGAGGCTGAGTATGTTATACCTCGAACTTTCTACCTTCTGGATTCTGGCTGATCTGACTTTTTTCTCCCTTCGCTTCTCACAGAAACATCGAGGAGCACGATACTCTGGCCAAGCAAAGCCCTATCGTCGATATTTCGGGCAAGAACCCTATCGCCAAATAACCCTCTACCCAGGTCGTTTAAGCGAATGATTGCATTATCATAAGCATTCCATTTTGCGTGGCGCTCTGACGGTTTATATCTGTGACTATTTTGGTCCTCGATTTTACTGTCCATGCTCAGACCAGGTGCATAAATCTGAGCGTGTAATTTTTACGATATCCTTGATGAATTTCCATAGAAAAAGTTCTTTCTTTTTTTGGCAGATTGGCAGACCGGCAGGCTGCCCCCAAAAGACTTTTTGATTTGAAACTGCTCTTGCACCCGTGCTCCGTTGTTTTCTGAAAGAAGATGCCCCATCACCGGGGGCCTTGTTGTAACGACCAACCGGAAACCTGGGCCTTGAGTCCTCCAAGCGTTGTTTTGCAGACGTTGAATTGTAGACGGGTATCAAGAGAATATAGCATTGGTAGCGAGACAAAAAAAAAAGTCATTGGAACATAGTGTATTATATTGATCCGGCGCAGCCTTTTCAATCCTACGAAGACAGAAGCCTTCGCGTCCAAGCACTAATCCTTAGCCTGAACTTCTCAGACTCGGACCCAGAACTTGTCTGTCTGGATTGTGGATCCGAGTATCTGGTTATCGGCCTAACCCATGCGCACATCGATCTCTCATTTAATCGACCTCAACCTTGCCCTGGCGCAACTCCACCTTGGCAAGCTCGATCTCCTTTTGTAGCTCAGCGTGTGCCTCGGGGACATCGTTGAAGGTGAAGATCGCCACACCCAGGCGGGCGAGGAGGTAGCAAGCGAAGACAATAAGCGCATAGAATGGGAGCTGGGTGGTTATAAGTTAGTTTTCTTCCATCGACACATTCGAAGACCGGAGCTGGGGGCCCGGGGGTTGACGGGGCGGATAACGTACAACTGGGATGACTTCGGTCTGGACAGTCTCATTCAGGGGAACGAGTCCAAGGAAAAGGGAAAGGTAGAGCTGGTCGATTGTCAGTAAGATCCGCAGGATTGTGTTCCTGAGATGGAGGGACTTCGTAGCATACTGAAGATACAAGGAGAAGAACGGAGAGGGTCTGGACAGCGCGCGTCATGGTGAAATCGGTAGATAAGACAGGATATTCACAAAGGAGAGGAGAGAGGTCAATTGTGAAGATAGCACCGGTTTAGCGTGGTAAAAATGAGGGACTCGGGGGGGTGTTGCAGTGCTGTATGCGGCAAAGGCCAGCTTGGGTGATGCGCTTCTTGGCGCCCGGACCGGGTCACTGGTCTTGTGTACCTGCCAAGTCTATAGTGGTATCTTCTACTCCGTAAAAAGAATTTGGATTCTAAAGGATTAATACATCTATGGTCTTGTGAAATATTCCTATTCATCTATATCTAATTATCCCATATGTTTGAAAGGAATATCAAAAGGATTTCTTTAAAAAAGGAAAAAAGAACATACACACGCAGTTAGCGATCTGCCCTTCCGCTTTGAGCACGCGGCACAATGTAGATTATATAAGCAGTCGACTCTACCTCGGGACCCCAATAAAGTGCACTTACTACAGCATACATATTCTTGACCATCGTTATAGAAACTAGAGTCATTGATGAGCCAATATATTCTCATATAGTTTGCATTGCAAGAGAATCTTATGTGAGAGACCCAACTCCGTAGCTGGGCCTAGATTCGGGGCCCGATCTGCCCATGATCTATGAGACTAAGATCACCATTCTAGAACCTCACCCGAGTACCGCACTAACTTGCCGCCATACTGATCCTTGGTGCCCGTACTCAAAACCTCAACCATGCCGGTAATGGACTTCTCATAGGTATCCGGCGCCTCCTTCATGCCCCAAAGTTGCGCAGCAGCATTGCCCATATCGGTCTGCACCCAGCCGGGATCCAAGACAAACGCATTGAGCCACTCATCCTCGGCGTTAATCCGGACACCGTACCAGTTGACAATCGACTTCGATGCGCCATATGCCGCACTGGGGACTGGAGGTTGACGTCTAGAGATAGTTAGCTTCCATTTACCGTGTCCCAAATTCGAGTAGACATACGCGAGACCACCAGCCCCGGATCCCATAATGGCATAGATGGGCTTTCCGGTCGACTTCTGCAGCAGATCGCGTGTTGCTTGGTACAAAGACACGGCACTTAACACGTTGACGTCAATATGCTCGACTATATCGGCCCGCTTGACGTCCTTCACAAGTGGATATAATTTGGCAATGCCTGCATTAGCGACGACAATGTCAAGATGGCTGATGCCCTGGTCGTTGGCTTCTTTGACTGCATCAAAGGCCGACTGCTCAATGCTCGCCTCGTACTTTACTACTATAATACGGCTGCGCTCGCCTGCGGGTAGCTCGGCGAGTGCCTGAGCGGTCGAGTGCGCTGAGTCACGGACGGCAGCTATAACAATCTATCGGCCACTTAGTGTCAGTGATTGCCTGTAATTGCAAGTGGAACGGCAAAAAAAGAAGCATTTACATGGTCCGGTTTAGCGATGAAACCCTTGACCAGCCCTTGGCCCAAGCCACGGTTGGCACCGGTGATGAAGACAACGATAGGGGCCATTGTGGGTTGTAGGGATACTTTTAGGGATCAATGGTTGTATATAGGAAAGGGCAATGGGAATTTGCGTCCAATTGATTGACTGGAGGTGGGTTCGGTCAGATATAGTGGGATTGAAGTATAATACCTTATAGATGTCCGACTCAATGTACACTTACATATGTTTTTAGGTGATAGTCAAACAGGCACTGTTGATTATCAATCCACATACATCTCATACCTAATCTCCAATCTCCGGCACTCAAATTCTCTGATTACAAATGCGACTGGTCCCTGCAATCTGCATCTCCCACCCGGAAGGCTGAATTATCACCATCTCAACGGAGAATTGCGTGGCCAACAACGTAACTATCTACTAGCATTGTCTTGAACGGGGAAAGCGGCCATAAGCACGTACTTTATACATACATTTGTATATGTACTCTGTAATCATTGATAGCACCATCGACCACCAGGATAAGCTCGGGCCGAGTTAAACAAGACTATGTTGCACCCCTACTACGACAGCCCGGCCGAGAAGGGGTGTTAATGTAAGCATGTCACTGGTAATAAATACAGTATTCTTTCAAGTGTATATAGCACATTAAATACAGAAACGGCTCCAGGGCTATGAGGTACATACTGATGATTGATGAAATGTATGTACAATGTAATAATTAGGAGTATTTGGATTACCGGCAAAAGAAAAGTAAAGTGACGTGAATACGTTAGCGTCTCTTCTCGGCCGGGCTATCGTATCAGGGTATCAGGGTACCTGCTCTCAGATCCATGCAAAAGCAAACTTGATAACGAACATATAGTTTACAACTAAAATGGGATGATCTATGAAATCAAAGGCCGAGAGGAACCTTGGAAGGTCCACGGGCACATGGAGCCCGAGATCACGTTGCCGAACATGCCCTAGACCCTATGCCAAGGAATAGGTTTTACGGATTTATCTACCTTAATTTTAATACTGAGCAAAAAAAAGGTGCTTAACTATGAAATAATGCTGTTCAACCATTGAAATGAGCTTTTCGGAATACTAAATGTCTTTTGCTAGTATTTTGGTGAACGTCTTCATGTTATTATTGACATATATTAGAATTGACGAATTCCGAAACACGAACACTCTTAAGGGTGCTCTTACCCAAAATTAGAAGCTATAGGCTACTGGTTAAGGAACTGTAGGATAATGGTTAGTCCATCAAGCTTATGTAATTCTCCCTACCCGGGAAATTATCATGATTCATTCCTTGAATATCGTGGTTCGATTCCGCGCAGCTCCATCTCTTTTTTCTTTTTTATAATTTTTTTTTTTTTTCATACATGTTAATAAGCTATCAACATAGCCAAAACCCTCGAGTGAGAAAAGGTTGGAATCGGAGGTGATATTACATATATATTATCTAGGAATGTGTGTATATTCTGTTTATCTGGTTTTTCCCCCTCTACCTACGGAGTATAAGCTTCCAAAAGACTTTCTAACATAAACCAGAACACGTGATCACGGTAATTGATATTTGATCTCAGTGAGTAGATAAATATCATAGTATGTACCTTGTATAGATGTAGGATACAGTTTTCATATTTAATCTACGCGAGCGCAGTTGCAATACAACAATATATCATACAGAAAACATAATATGGCTCCATATGCATAAACACCATACCTGGGCCTAACCTAAACGAGATTGGTGCCTGAATCCACCTCAGGCAGCTACGTCCACGGGTCTCTCCACGAACAGTCTAAACTTACTTTGTTTCTGCGATGTTTCTGATGAGTCGCTTCTCTTCCACTAATATCAAGAATCCACTTTAGACTCTCGTTGCCTGATTAAAAGCCACCAGTACTCTCGTATCGGAGCCAACGCTGTTTGTTTACAGGGTTTAAATTGTTACGACGGGGTCAACAGGCTACCATCTAGGCTCCTTCATCTAATTGAGAAGGCCTTTCCCGTTCAGCCAAGGAATTTGTATCTTCATATCTTCAGTTCAACACGGACCCTTCCATATTACCCCACACTCCGGAGGCAACTATCTGCCCCCGATTCGGCAAGATGTCTTCCGCCGGTATATCTACGGCCCAACTGGCCGTTCATGGAGATGCTGGCCACTCAGTCTCGCAAAAGGGGGATTTGGAACTACCTCTTATCAAAAAGATTCTCCCAGATCTACCGGAGGGTTCTTCCTCTTTGCCACCCCGCACGGAAACCATTGACCCAGAAGAGCAACAGGAGATGTTCCATGAGTTGCGAGACATCATTGAAAAGGCCCAGGAGGTCGACGATGCTGGAAATAGCTTCGATCTTAAGGAGCTCCATGCATCCCTTGAAGAGGCCGATGCAAATGCAAAACGCGGGCGACGGGACGCCGACACCCTGCGAAGCGTGAGCGCCACTCTGCAAAAGCTATGGGCTTGTAACTCAGAGTACTTGGTACAAGCCACTGAAATCATTGCGGATGGTAGCAGAGATCGTGGGTCAATTCTATATACATGTCAATTTTATAACTTGCTAATTATGTTTCAGCTTCATGGCGTGCTCCATTCGGCCAGTCTGGCATTCTGAGATTCTTCCTGGATGTGATTTCTTTGAAGGGCGAACTTGATACCAGTCTGTTGCTTCACTCTTTGCGAGTTATTGGGAACTCGTGTGCCGATACAGGTATGCTGCAATCAGTTGCATATGTGCCCATATAGCTAACGTTGATGCAGATGAGAATAGGGAGATTGTTATCAAGGGAAACTATACACTTGCTATCATTCGATATTTCCTTGATCCGGATTTGGTCTTTGTTGCAATTCCAGTCATCTACAATATTTGCATGGATTACAGTATGTCCAGAAAGAACCGGCTGGTTATATACGTCTTGCTAATATGATATCAGAACCGGCGCATGCTCAGATAGCTACCAACCGAACAGCTTACATCCTATTGAAGCTGATCAAAGATGGCGAGATCGAAGATAACGAGGCTCTACTCAATTTCTCATACGACTTGATTGAGTTGGCCTCAGAGCAAGGTATACTTCATCCCAACCTCAGCCTGTTTTCTGATCTAACATTTAATTTGCAGCTGAAGGCATTGAAAACTCCCCCGACGGAACAATTCTACTGTTGATGGAGCTTGCTATTGATGAGACTCTTGATTTTGCACACTTCTCATCATTGGCGACTTCTCTCGCTGCTTACCTAGGAAACGAAAAGTTCCAGATTGCCTGCGTGTCGAATGAAATGGTGGAAGGCGTGCTGGACGTCCTGCGTCATTCATTTTCGATTGTGGTGGACCCTTCTTTGAGCGAAGACGTCAAGGCTCTCGCGCAGCTTCGCCTCAAGATTAATCAGGCTTTAGCTGAGGTATCTGCCTCACCATTGTTTGCCCAGCATTACCCCCTTGACTCTCCTCTTTCACAGACCTTAAAGTCATGGGTGGTTGCAACCGAAGATCAACTTCAGATCTGCGCCTGTGTCATGCTTGGAAACCTCGCCCGGTCCGACGAGGTCTGCCAGGTGATGGTCCGGGACCTGAAAATTCACAAAGAATTAATATCTGTTCTCAAGGGAGATGCCCGTGGTGCGGTCCTACACTCTTCGCTTGGTTTCTTGAAGAACCTTGCAATTGCCGGCGACAACAGGGCCATTCTTGGAGAAGCCGGTATCATTCCTGCCATTTCACGATTATGGGCATATGAATCTGTTCCGCAGGTTCAATTCTCGGCTGCAAGTATCGCGCGTCAGGTGATTATATCCTCGATGGATAACATTTCCGATCTTCTCGCTCCTCTCTCACAAGATGTTGATTCCCCGGCTCACAAACGGACCTACCTTTCTCTGCTCCTGTCTCTTTTCGAGAAAACGGACTCCACGCCAATCAAGACTGAAATCGGACGGACAGTTGCTTCAATCTGTCGGACTGTTAGCCCCAAGGCTCGCGATGGAGATAAAGAAGCAATGTCCTTGCTTGACCGGCTATACACTCTACACGAGGGTGTCTCGCTACCAGTAGGTGCGATGATCACACAGACTCAGTGGCCTGTCGTTCGCAGTGAAGGCTGGTTTGCTCTAGCTCTAATGGCGACAAACAAACTCGGTTGTGCCGCTGTTGTGGACTGCTTGCACAAGACAGAGGTTACCGAGTTGCTTAAGACGACCCTAGGCGGGGGCACTCCCAATCAAGATAAGGCTGAGGAGACAGACAAGTCGCAAGAGACCAAAGACCGTGACAACGCTTTTGTGCTTGTGCAAGGGCTGCTGACGAACGAGGTGAGTTTTCTGCCCTAGGATAGTGCTGGTAATTTACTAATCGCCAAATAGTCTGGTGCCCTTCCTGTGGGCTATAGGGATATGCTGGAAGACTTGGTGAAGGCCAATGCCTCACAGTTGAAGGCAGCAACAGATGCTTAGTTGGAGAGCTCCAACATGATATGATGCATTTGAAACAAGTGTTATTATTGTTGCATATTATGTGATGCATCGGCCAAATATGTGCTTTGGTTTGTTGTGGGACCAACATTATCTAGAAATGGACTCAAAAGAAGGCCATAGAATAACTTTCTAGAGGGATAAAAAGGAGAGACATTTCTTGCTGCATGTACATGTATCCCTCAAAACATGACAATTTGAATGAAGTATCTCCATGGGTGTAGAGAAAGCTCGAGCACCCCAGCGAAAGGAATCTACTAGTTACTCTATACGAACTTAGTTGTAGGCGTGCAAAAGTTAAACAAAAATCATTGGGTATATACGTATATGTACATGACACTTCCTCCATTAATTGACACAATCTGATACCCAGGGGCTTTGAGATCACTCAGTCTGTAAACAGACTTTCTCCTGTGCATATGCTCGGTAACGAGTTAGGAGATCCGTAGCGTCCAAACCGGCCGCACCTTGGCGAGCAGAATAATGCGAAGCAAGTCCCTTGCCATCTATAATGACATGCGGACGAGAGCCATCCGCCATATGCCAATTGTGAGAGGCTCCCTTATGGTTGCGCAAAATGCTGTGCACATCCACTGCATCA